TCATCTGAAGGCTCGACTAAGGCTGGAGGATCCTCTTCTAAGTGTTTTAACACCCCTTGTTTGGGATCCAGAACCTAAGATGAGGATTCTTGGAAAGTGACACATCAGATGTATGAAATAAAAACCTGTATAATTGAATAACTGAATAAACCCCTCTTCTGATACAGAATTAAAATGCTTAGCCTCCCTGGGCCATGTCCGTTTTTGGAGAGCCAACTGAACAGGAGCCATGTTGTCCCATCAACCACAGGACTGGGAAAAGCCCAGAACAAGTTTCCACATCCTGAGGCAGCACCTCGACATCAATGTGACCTATTCAGGCTTTTTATTACAAAACTAGAATGAAATATATTTCTCCTTTGTGGGTAGGGGAATATTAATATTAAAATATGAGAGATATATTTTTAATTGGAACTTAGCTCAAATTTCAATGAGCTCTTGACTAAAAGTACATTTTTTCTGGGTTGCCACATCCTGGCTGGGTGCATACTGTTACATAGGAGTCATGAGGGAAGCACCGCCATTTGCAGTATTAATTGTAATCTGAACATTTGTTTCTTTCACAAGATTCAAGCATTGGATTTCAGTTCAGACAACTTATACTTTTGGACAAGGGCATATTGTCCATATTGATAGTTGTTCCCCCCTTTCTTTAATACATGGAAGAAAAAGGGAGCCACTGAGACCCCCTGCTTTCATGAGTTATCATTTCCCCAAAATTGTTAAGTTAGAAAAGCCTGAAGAAAAGCAAAGAAATCTCCCTGGTTTGTTCTGCTTTCCAGCTGCTAAGTCTAATGTAAACCTCATAGTACTTTTCATGAAAGAAAGTGAAATAGTTTATTGGGAAGAAAGGCTTTTGCATGTCTGAATCTCATCTTTAGTTTTTCCCCCCACAAGGCTAGTTTTCTTGCCCCATCTCTTTTCCTGGGATAATTTCTGGCTCTGGTGAGGCTCTGCCTTTCCAGGACCTTCCTGCTTCCTCATGAGATTCACTCCTTTGTATGTTCAACAGATGGACCCATTTAGAATCAGTTATGGAGCAGTACAAAAGGGTGGGGAGGTCTTGAGTTTCTTTGTAAGGAGATTGATGGTTCCATCCAGCCTGACATAATGCTGAGGAGTTGTTGGTTATTGGTCATACGCTAGAAAACCCAGGCCTCTGGATGCCATTTCAGGAAGGTACATATATGTAAATGAAAAAACAAATTCAGACACATCTCACAACTGCTTTCTTATCATTTCCAACCCCCAATCCATTGTTGTTTGTGTTTTTAGAGATGGTTAAGAGAAAATGAAAGCAATGACAAGCACAGCTACTACTTTTGCTGTGCTCAGAAACGTCATTAAAAAAAAAGAGGATCCAATTTATCATTTCCTTTAATATTTTCACAAGAAGGAGACTTCATTCATCCCTCTAGGAAAGGGAGCCTTAGGGAAAATGCTTCTCTCTGTCTGCCTGATGGTAAAAGGGAGCTGACCAATTGAAAGGCAGAGTAATTGACTGACTGCTCTGTCTCTCCTTTTCTCTCTGCCTGGCTGGTGGAATGTGCAGTGTACCTGAGGTCCCTGCAGGGGGCTACACACATAGGCTTGGGGCCAGAACATATGTGTTCCAAGCAATAGATTTCAGGTAGAAGGCAACAAAGGACCTTGGGCCCAATTTGTAATTCTTTATTAGAATTCATGGGAAACCCTTCATTTGGGGGTTTATTGGGCCCTCATTTAGCCCTTAATAAAACTGACAGAAGGCTGGCAGATATTCAAGTAAGATGCCATTTGTCAGAATTCCCAGGAAGGTGGGTGAGTGCCTGCATCCCCCAGACTCCTGATAGTGAAGGCTCCTACATGGCTTGCTTGGGTTTTCCCCACATGCTTCAAACTCAGTAGGCCTCAAAGTAAGCTCCCCCTCATACCTGCTTGTCCTGTGGTTTCCTTCTTGGTCATTGGCCTCAGTGTTCTTGTGGTACCCCAGGCTGATATTCTGGGTATTGGAGCATAGGAGGCCCTTTGAGCCTCCTTTCTCACTATCTCCATGTAGTGCCCCTCTGGTTGGCTGCACCCTGCTTATTACTCAGATCTCAGCTGGGATATCACCTTCACCTGAATCTTTGCTGACCCAGAAGGCTGAGTGCTTCTGGAGTCCTCACACTTCCCTACCACCATCCACTGAAGCATGTTTGATCCATCATTTCTCTGCCTTTCCCACTAGACTTCAAACTCCTTGTAAGAAAGGTCTGGGGCTTGCTCATCCTTTAATACCAGTGTCAGCATAGGGCCTGCCTGTAGTAGCTGTTCAATAGATATTTCTTGGCCCAGGAAATATAAAGCATAGTGGTTACAACAAGTCCAGCATTAGGACCTGAGGCCTGGGTTCAGACCCTTCTATTTGTGTGATTTTGAGTGAGTTCCTTCTCAATCCTCAACTTTTTCACTAATAAGATGGGGATAATAACTATTTCCTAGGATGTGTGATGAAATGACATAATCCATGCAAAGCACCTAGAACAGGGGTGGGCAACCTTTTTGTGAGTGCATGCCAAAACCAGCAAAATCTCTGACTCAAAATTCTTCTGCGTGCCAACCCTAATTTTTTGAGAACATGTTACGCCTACTTGATATCTCTTAAGGTATACGTTTGTGAAGAACCTTGAAGAAATAATAAAATTCATTCGAGTGACAAAAACACAGTATATGATGATGAAAAATACATTTATTTTTTAATGTATACATGTACACTGATAGTCTGACAGAAAACTTTATGACTCCGTTTGATATTATCAGTGGGACTTTTGCTGCTGCATCACTGATGACAGAGATTTTACATCAGGTTTATATTTCGTGACCTTCAGAGATATGCACGAGCTACTACTTTCATCCGTCAGGCTATTGCTATTACGAGACTTAACAAAATTCATCACTGAGAACAAAGATTCACAAGCGTATGTGGATGAAAACATGGAGAGTAATTCTGTTGCAAAATTTTTTAAACAGAAAAAATTTTCTGGAATGGCATTCCAAGTCCTCAATAGTTCGTTTCGACACTTCTCTCTGGTACTCCTGTCTCTAATTGCTTTTTTTCAATGTTTTCCAAGTCAACTCTAAGGTCAATAAATTTCTGCTTCCAAATTGAGCTACTCTGAAATTCAATCAACTGCATTTCAAAGTTAGCCATGTCTATCCATGAAAACATTTGTAAGTTTAGTTCCTCCAGTTTCATGCTGTCTGGAAACCTCATGAATTTTGCTGTCTCTTCCAGTTGTCTGAATTTCGCAAATCTTGAGAAGAACTGCTCAATAGTTGACTTGATGATGTTTAAAAACAGCTTTTGAAGGCTTTGACACTGTTCTGTCATCTTTTGGGAGGTCTTTGATGTGCCTCTTGAGGTTTGGAAATATCTAAATCTCTCACCATCCACATCCCTCTTAAAGACTTCCAGTTTCTTTTCAAAAGCCTTTATGTAACCAAACATAACATCAAGTGTTTTGCCAGTTCCTTGTAATTTAACATTTAAGTCATTCAAATGTTCACAAAAATTGTAAATGGAAGATTATAAGAGAGGGTTTCGCGTGCCAGCAAAAGTTACTGGCGTGCCATGTTTGGCACGCGTGCCAGGGGTTGCCCACCCCGACCTAGAATAATGTGTAACACATAGTAAGTGTTCTGTGTTTTGCAGTATCTAATAATAATAATAAGTCATAATAATACAGTTAGCCTTAATGGAAAGGAGAAGACTATAAGAAAAAGTTGGAACTAGAAATCAGGCATGTTGAGTACTTGTAAAATGGGCTTGGAACAGGTGGGAGTTGGTTTTGAACCAAGGTTTCTAGATAGGGCGGTGAAAATGTAGGAGCAGATGGGATTACTCTGGGAAGAATGAAGAGGGAGGGGAAAATTGGGCAGGTAACTGATGACAGAACCTTGAGAAATCTTATGTCTGAGTGATAATAAGAGAAGTCAACAGGAAAGAAAGATGATTTTAGTAGGAGATCACGGTTCATCAGATGCCAGGGACTGGTCTAGAGAAGACTAGAAGAGGCCACTAGAATCAGCTAAATGGGAGAGCAGTAGTGTCCTTGGGTACAAGCCTTTTCAGTAGAGTCAGTAAGAAAGAAGCTCCATTCAGAAGAGGCTAGGTTAGGGATGAAGGGGTAACACTAAGGCTGGCTCTTATGCTGTAATGTGTGCTTGTGTAACACAAATTAGTTTGTGGGTAAATAGATGACTGATGTCAGAACAATGTGGATGTATGTCGGTTTGAATGAAGGCACCCCCCGCCCCCCCCAAATGTTACTATTTGGCATCCCTGGCCAGTAGCAGCTGAAAACAAAATGCTCTAGCACAGCTGAATGTAGCAGCCTGGGGCTGAGGGAATGAGGGGACATGGTACCCAGTCTCCCTGGGTCTTCTGCTTGGCTCTTTGGTGCCCGCTCTGTCTAGAAGGGCTTTGGGCAGTCTTTGCCCATCTTTGTGAATCCATTCACTGATTTTGTATCACTTAGCAGCCGGAACCCTGTTTACTCCTTCCATCATGCTTACCCTCCCTTACCTTATTTAAGGTAAGGAGTCATAGCTACTAGAATGTTTCTTTATTAGGAATTTAATGTATATTTTAAAATTTCAGTGTTTTTTAATTATGATTATTGTTTTTGTTAGTGTCCAGGTTAAAATTTTAACTTCTTTCCCAGCCCTGTTTTTCCAGTAAGCTCTGTTATTTTCAGTTTGAACTTGTGAAGTGTTAGTTTTTAGCAATATATATGTCCACTTATAGAAGACATCCTCATGACTCCTTTTCCTAAGATTCAACAATGTTGGAAGGAAGGATGGGAGGGAAGAGCAGGGTCTATAGAAGGTTTTCTCAAGGATCAGCAGACTTGCATATGCTTGGTTGCAACTTGATCTAAATCAATTTCCTCATAGTGATTGTTTTCTTAAGTGCTCCTCATTATATATTTGGGTGGTTATGGTTTGACGTTTTTATCTTCTCTGATCTTTTGCTGCAGTCTGAACAAGCGTCTGAGGCCGAGCTACACCCCCAGCTGAACAGAGCCCCCTCGCAAGCTGCAGAGAGTAGTCCAACAAAGAAGGTAAGGCCAGCACAGGGTTGCCACTGGGATGACGTTGCGAGCCCTCCCTTGGGCTTTTTGTCTCTGTGAACACATCTACCATTTTAAGGTTTTGATGTCCCGACGTTAATGTTAATGACCCAGATTTCCTAGAATTTGGGTTCTTTGTGAAGATGGGGTCCTGATGACTCCTGGGCTAGACCTTGATGTCACTGACAGTTTGTATTTTCCTCTTCAACCTCCCAGCTAAATATGGCGGCTTTGCTGTTGGTAAGACTAAGAGGTGAGGTGGGGAGGGACAGATGCCTTTTTCAGAATCCCACACACTGCTAAGCCTCTAGGAGTACCTTTTGGGGGCGTGGTAGTCGTCCCATCCTTGTCTTTGTGCTGTGGTCTCTTCTGCATCTTAGCATCTTCACTTCAGCCTATCTGCGTCACTGAGTCCTGGGTCATTTGCTCAGTAAACACCACTCACTCATGGTGCTGTCCTTTCATTTTCTCACCCTCTTCTTGTCCTTCCCCATTTTCTCAGGCCCTTCTCTCATGAAAGAGAGTGGGCCCTGGGCTCAGGAACACAGGTAAAGCAGGGGCCTTCAAGGAAGCAGGCCATCTGTCTCCTTCCAGAAGACACTGTGGCTCTTGAGCTTGATTTCATGTAGCAATTGGGGGTAGGAGAATTCTGAACTTATGGCTAAGATCATTACAAACTTCAAAACTATATTCCACAAAGCCCCAAAGTAGAGCAAGAGTAAATTTTCTTCAGTGGAAAAGGCTCTGTGCTGTGAGATGCACACGGCATTTAAAATAGGAAGGAAAAGAGGGTTGGTGGACCCCTGGAATCTGATTCCTGGGTCCTTCCAGGTGACAAAAAGATAATAGGCTGAATGCATGAAAAAAAGGAGGAAAGAAACAAAGGCCACTGAAATCTGATGCCCATGTCCCTCCCTTACCTAGCCAAGAATCAGTCACATATTTTTGGATGCAGAGTTTCAATAGAACACATGCCTGACCTTGGGGTTGGCTTAGAGAGACATAGGACAATGGCATGATAGGGGCACAATTAATTTTTTAACTGTTGGGGGGGTTTATTTTGTTCTTAATCTGCAGGACACACCATATTCTCAGCCTCCATCAAAGCCCATCCGTAGAAAATTACGACCAGAAAATCAAGCTACAGAAAATCAAGAGCCTTCTACCACCGTTGGCGGGCCAGCATCTGTAGCAACTGTGAAACCCCATCCAATAGTCCAGAAGTAAGTAGAACAGATAAGTGAGAGCAGGATTGGAGGCTTCCTTTTAAATCTTCATGTATATGTAAATGTAGATGTTTACATTTACACTCATACCATAAAAGGGTGTGATTTTATGGATGTAGTCTTACCTTACTTATCTCTGTGATGGGATTACTATTTTCCAGTCACATAGAAAGAGGCTTCTAAGCTATAGGACATATCCTGACACAAGGGGCAAGTGAGGACAAGGCCATAGTATGTTTCCTTCCCTTCCCTTCCCTTCCTCCCTCCCCTTCCACTTCTTCTGATCTCTCTTCCTTGTACTGGCCCACATTTTCTCAGGAAGAAGACAGTAATATAAATGGCAGTTTTCTCTTTGCCTGTCTTATCTCATGTTTCCCCATGGCAAATAGCTAGCTTCATGACCCTCAGGCCCAACTTTCAGTAGATGTGGGGTGTGATTTCTTTTAAAAATTTTTAAAAAATAATTTATTATAATTATAATTGATATATAGTATTATATTTCAGGTGTACAACACAGTGATTCAACATTTATATTTCTTACAAATTGATCATAATAAGTCTATTAACGATCTGTCACTACATAGTTATTACGATGTTATTGACTCTTTTTTCTATCTGTACATTACATCCCCGTGATCTTTCTTAAAAATATATTTTGATTGATTTCAGTGAAGAAGGGAGAGGGAGAGAAAGATAGGAACATCAATGATGAGAGAGAATCTTTGATCAGCTGTCCCCTGCATGCCCCACACTGGGGATCAAGCCCTGACCAGGAATCGAATGTGACCTCCTAATTCATAGGAAATGCCAAACTGCTTTCCACAGTGGCTGCAGCATTTTACAATCCTGCCAGTAATGTATGAGAGCTCTCATTTCTTCTCTTCCTTGCCAACACTTGTTGTTATCTGTTATTATTATTATTATTATTATTATAGCCATCCTAGTGTGTGTGAAGTGATATCGCATTGTGGTTTTGATTGCATTTTCCTAATGACTAATGGGGTTGAGCATCTTTTCATGTGCTTATTGTCCATTTGTATACTGTCTTTGGGGAAATGTTTCCTCAGATTCTTTGTCCATTTTTACATTGGATTATTTATCTTTATTTTTGGGTTATAAGATCTTTACATATTCTGGATATAGGTACCTTATCAGATATATACTTTGCAAATATCTTCTGTGGGTTGTTTTCACTTTCTTGATAGTATTATTTACAGCACAAAAGTTTTAAATTTTGATGAAGTCCAATTTATTCATTTTTTCTTTTGTCACTTTTGCTTTTGGTGTTACATCTAGGAAACCATTGCCTAACCCAAGGTCATAAAGATTTGTTCCTATGTTTGTTTCTACAAGTTTTGTAGTTTCACGTCCTAGATTGAAGCCTATGGCCAATTTTGAGTTCATTTTTGTGTATAGTATGAGGAAGGGGTCCAACTTCATTCTTTTGCATATGGATATCCAGTTGGCCAGCACCACTTGTTGAAAGGAGCTATTTTATCTGCTTATTCAGTGACTGTCCCTCACTATGATACTTTCTCGCTGGTTAGGTAAAAACACATGGTGTCAGGCTGAGAGACTAGCACCCACCAGTTAACACAAATAGTGCTATAAATGGCAGGAATTTAAGCTTTGGGGTCAGGGAACTTCGTACAACTGACTTTAGTTCCCAGACCAGTTTATTTTGAAGTAATAAGAAGTGACTTAGCATTAATAATTTTTAAGCCCTGAGGAAGAGAGACAGCTATACACACGATGGTGAGTCTATATGGTCCTGTCTCAGCCAGTGTTCTGGGAAAGAATTAAGCTCTGATGCCCTTAGACATCCATTGTCTATAGTAAGTAAATCTCTCTCTTATTCATCTAGAATGGTCTTTACTCTGTATCCTCTTTTAGAAAATCGAGCAAAGAGTCACAAATCATTTTCTTAATTCTCTATCAGAACACTGGTTAAGAAAGGCGCTCCTTTCATCTCACGTGATCTCTTCTCTCATGCTCTTATTTTCTCGCGAGCTCTTCTCTTCTCCCGTTTTCTCTTCTCGCGTGATCTCTTTTTACGCACCTCTTATCCTGTAATGGCTTCTCTTCTTGCGCACTCCTCTTATCTCACATGATCTCTTTTTCTCTTCTGTACCCTCCCCATTTCGGGTGATACTCTACTCTTCTCGTGAATTCTTCTTGTGCCCTCTTCTCTTCTTGCCTGATCTCCTCTTCTCCCCCAACACTTCTTGTGTGATCTCTTTTTACCTCCTCTCCCGAGATCTCTTCTTGCTGATCTCTTCTCTCTTACTTCTTCTCCTGTGATCGCTTCTATTCTCGCCCATCATATCATATTTTTTATTTTGATTTGCAGTGTTCACTGTTAGTATATTGAAATTCTTTTGATTTTTGTATGTTAATCTATCCTGCAAATTCCTTTTTATCCATACTGAAATCATTTATTAGTTCTAGGAGATTTTGTAGATTCCTTGGGATTTTCTACATAGACCATCATGTCATCTGCAAATAGAGACAATTTTATTTCTTTTCAAGATGTGTACCTTAATACCGTTTCTCACATTATTGTGCTGGCTAGGATTTCTAATATTATCATTAAAATAGTGATGAAAGTAGAAATCTTGTCTTGTTCCTAATCTTTAGGGGGAAAACATTCACTTTTTCATTAAGTATGACAGCTGTAGTTTTTAAAAAAACTTTATTGTTGAAAGTATTATATATGTCCTCTTTTCCCCCACATTGACTTCTAGCCCTCCTCTGTCCCTTGCCCCAGGCCCCCACCACCTATTGTCTGCATATGATCTCTTCCCACCCACCCTCCTTCCCCTGCCTTCGCTCTGAGATTCCACAGTCTGTTACATGCTTCTGTGTGTCTGCATCTATTTTGTTCATCAATTTATTTTGTCCATTTTTGGATTGCCACCTTCTCCACTATCCGGTCTGGGATCTATGAAGCAAAAACAACAACAAACAAACAAACAAACACAAACCTCCAAGACACACAAAATCAACAACAACAACAATTTACTGCAATATGTTTCCCTGGGTACCGAATTCCCTAGCCACCTCCATTCCACTTTTTGGAGTCATCTTATGTTTGTTTTATACATTATGTCCAGGGTTTTAACTGTATGTACTTATTGGAAGGAATAGAGAGAAGTGTATCTTTTCCATCTTGTCCCCAAACCAGAAATCCAATCTGTATATTTTAAAAAGTAGGTTTTGAAGCCCCTTCCCTGCATATATATGGATGAAAAATTAATTTTCAAATTTGTTGGGGAAGGGAGTATGCATGCCTTATACAGATTAGCAGAGTGGCTGGCATAGAGAATATTCTCAGTGAATATTAATCATATCACTACAGTGGTCACAATGCATATCAGTTGAGTTGCTCTGGCCTAGAACCCACTCCCAATGATTACAAATATGTTTTTCTAGGGGAATTTAAATTGCCATTTTGCTCTAATATTCAGTATTTTTTGCTGTGAGATATAAAGTTGTAGATTATACAGCCATGTTGATTTATTATCACAACTGTGGACAGTTTTGAGGGAGAAACAGGATGCTAAGAATAATAAGGGCCGGACAAGCAGTGTAAGCAGAGACTGTAATGGACAAAGTGAGACATATGATCACCTTATTTGTATCGATTGAATGAGTTTACTATTGACTTAATTTGGGAGTACAAGTATTGAGACATTTCTGTGTATTTCTCAAGTGCTACAGATATACATGCTGGTGTATGGACATGCACATGCTCACTCACACTCAGGCATTCATGCCTCATAATAAAGGAATAAAGGAGAGTTATGGGGACTGGTTAAATTAATGTAGGATCTTTGCTAAAGAGAATGTTCTATTTTTACCTCCAGACTGGTCCACAGGGGCCACCTGCAGGTTTTTTAAATGCCATTAATGCTTATACAAAAAGGGCATTGCAGTTAATATGGTTTGTCCAGAAGAAATACTTATTAAAATATCTTGGAATAAATGGAATGGAGAGTGTTTATAAAGGCCGATTCACAGCCTTTCTTCAAGTTATAAAATGGGAATTACTTCAGGTGTAAATAATTCATCCTGACAAATTTGTTTTATTTGGGGTGTGTCTGCCTGCCTGGCTGTGAACATATGATTTTATTTGTGGAGACCTCTGACATTAGCCCCTTGTTAATTTAGCACTTCTCATGAATCAGAGAGTCTTGACAAGGGTCCAGACCTCTAAGTTCTATTTCACTGAACTGTTTGTACTTTTTGTAGACAGTCTTCCAAACAGAAGAAGGCTATTCAAACTGCTATCCGCAAAAATAAAGAGGCAAATGCAGTGCTGGCCCGGTTGAACAGTGAACTCCAGCAGCAACTCAAGGTAAGGGGCTTTCTGATTTTGGATTACCAGGCTTTTCACCTAGTTGTTTTGTTCTGTTTTGACCATTAGCTGAGCATCTGGTTCCATTCCTATTGGTAAGACTTGCTTCTTTGTTCTCAAACTCCTTTTAGAAGGCAGAGAATTGCTGTATTTAAGTTTCATGGGTTGGTTCTTGAATACTTAGAGGAAGACTAGCAACTTGAATATGTAGGTTGCATATTGTGTTAGTTAAAAGGACGGAATCTATTACAAGGGCGGTTTGAAGCATTCATTAGAGTCTGAAGCTTCTGGGTAAACCCTTACTTGTTTAGATCTACCCTGAATGATGCTATACTTATTTCAGTGGAGGAAGGTGGTCCTGATACTATCAAAGGCCAGCCCCTTTCCTGGTACCTTGGAAATGGCTCCATATCACCTTGTCAAGGACATCACCCCTGTTCTTATCATCTATATCCCTTCATTATTAATCTCCCCTGTTTTAGTTTCACAGGGCTTCCACAACCAAGTACTATGAAATGGGTGGTTTAAAAGAACAGAAATCTAGTCTCATAGCTCTGGAGGCTAAAAGTCTGAAATCAAGGTGTCAGCACAGCCAAGCTCGCTCTCTGAAGGCTCTAGGGTAGAACCCTGCCTGTCTTCTTCCCAGTTTCTGGTGGTGGCTGGCAGTGCTTGGCGTTCCTTGGCTTGCAGACACATCACTCCGATTTCTGCCTCCACTCTCACAAGACCTTCTCTCTGCCTCTGTCCAAATTTCTCTTCTGATAGTGTCCTCTTCATATAAGGACACTGTTAATTGGATTAGGGCCCAGCCTAATATTGCATAACCTCATTTAAATAAATTAAATCTGCAAAGATCCTTTATCCATATAAGACCATACTTACAGGTACTGGGGGTTAGGACTTAAACATATCTTTTCAGGGGACACAGTCTCCTGATTCTCTACTGGCTCATTCCCATCCACATGTGAACATGCTCCCTTATCCTTCTTCAGCTGCTGTGGGTCTCTCTGGCCTTCTTCACAGACACGTTTCTTAGGAGTCCTTTCCATTTACTATCTCTGCTTCCTCACCAACAATTTTCTCTCCCTTCACTTCAGTGTGGCTTCCTTCTCCTCCACTCCACTCCTCTTATGGCCAAATCCAATGAGCCTGTTTTAATATTATTTGAATTTTCCAAAGAATTCTACACAATTGGCCTCTTCCTCCTCTGAAGACACTTTTCTAACTGGCTTTTGGGAAACCAAACCTGGCACATTTTTTTTTCTACTTCACTGGTGCTTCCTCTTTAGCATTCTCTGCTGTCTATTCCTTTTTTTAATTTCTCTTTTGTTAACCCACTTGCCTCGATATTTTATTATGTACATTCTCAAGCATTCAAGAAAGTTGAAAGAATTATGCAGTAAATACTTTTATAGCCACCACTTCGGTTCTGCCATTAATATTTTCCTATACTTGTTTTATCACTTATCCATTTCTTTTTTTTCTTATCCATTTCTTTATCTATTCCTCTATCTATCCATAGTCCATCTTATTTTAACATATTTTCAAGTAAATTGAAGACATCTGTACATGTGCACTAAATATTTCAGCATGCATAGCATTAACTAGAGTTTAATATTTTTACAGGCATTTCTTATGATGTACATTTTATATACAGTGAACACACAAATCTTGAGGGTACATTTGTTGAATTTTTAACAAATGCATACACTTACAGAGCCCAAACCCCTATAAAGGTTCAGAACACTCCCATCATCCCGGGAAGCTCCCTCTTGCTCCTTCCTGGTCGATTCTGACCCCTCTTAACATTCACTTTTTTGTGAAACTTCTTTCACTTAATATTGGTTTTGAAGTTCATTTATACTGCTGTATGTGTCAATAATCTGCTCTTTTTTATTGCTGAGTAGTATTCTGTTGAGTGAATATGCCACAATTTGGTTGTCAATTCTCATATTAATGGACACCTGAACTGTTTCCAGTTTTGAGCTATCTACACTAATAAAAGACAAACATGCAAATTGACCGTACCTTCGCTATGCCTTAAGCCACACCTACCAGCAAATCAGAGCGACTATATGCAAATTAACCAAACCAAGATGGCAGCTGGCAGCCATGGAGCTGGAGAGAGTAGGAGGCTTGGTTGCCCAAGTGATGGAGGAAGCCAAGCTTCCCGCCTGCCGCGGCCAGCTCTGAGCTCCACTCAAGGCAACAAAGTTTCAATTATAGAAGATAAATAAACCCCAGATACCTGCTTTCAGCTGGCCGTGGCCACGGAGCTGGAGCGAGCAGGAGGCTTGGGTTGCCCCTGGCGATAGAGGAAGCCAAGCTTCCTGCCCCGCCCTGGCCAGCTCTGAGCTCCACTCAAGGCAACAAAGTTTCAATTATAGAAGATAAATAAACCCCAGATACCTGCTTTCAGCTGGCCATGGCCACGGAGCTGGAGCGAGCAGGAGGCTTGGGTTGCCCCTGGCGATAGAGGAAGCCAAGCTTCCTGCCCCGCCCTGGCCAGCTCTGAGCTCCACTCAAGGCTACAAAGTTTCAATTATAGAAGGTAAATAAATCCCAGAATGAAAAAAAGAAAGAAAGAAAAAAAGGAGAGGCTGGGTGCTTCTGTCGCGGGGGGAGGGGGGGCTTGGCCAGCCTGAAAACGGCCCTCAGTTCCTCACCCAGACTGGCCAGGCACCCCAGTGGGGACCCCCCACCCTAAAGGGGGTGTGGCCAGCCTGAAAACAGCCATCAGCCCCTCACCCAGTCTGGCCAAACCTCCATGGGGTGAGGGTCCCCACTGGGGGGGGGGGCGCTTGACCAGCCTGCAAACACCCATAAGCCCCTCACCCAGGCTGGCCTGGCACCCCAGTGGGGACCCCCACCCTGAAGGGGGTGTGACCAGCCTGCAAACAGCCATCACCCCCTCACTCAGGCTGGCTAGGCACCCCAGTGGGGACCCCCACCCTGAAGGGGGTGTGACCAGCTGCAAACACCCATCAGCTCCTCACCCAGGCTGGCCAGGTACCCCAGCAGGACCCCCACCCTGATCTGGGACACCCTTCAGGGCAAACCAGCTCGCCCCCACCCATGCACCAGGCCTCTATCCTATATAATAAAAAGGGTACTATGCAAATTGATCCTAACAGCAGAATGACTGGGAATAACTGGTCACTATGACACACACTGACCACCAGGGGGCAGATGCTCAATGCAGTAGCTGCCCCCTGGTGGTCAGTGTGCTCCCACAGGGGGAGCTCTGCTCAGCCACAAGCCAGGCTGATGGCTGCCAGCACTGCGGTGGTGGCGGGAGCCTCTCCCGCCTCCTCAGCAGCGCTAAGGATGTCTGACTGCAGCTCAGGTCTGCTCCCTGCTGGTAAGTGGGCATCCCCCAAGGGCTGCCGGGCTGCCAGAGGGATGTCTGACTTCCAGCTTGGGGGAGCGGGCCTAAGCCAGCAGGTGGACATCCTCTGAGGGGTCCCAGACTGCAAGAGGGCATAGGCCGGGCTGAGGGACCCCCCGAGTGCACAAATTTTTGTGTACCGGGCCTCTAGTTTTGTATAAAACTGCATTTTGAATCAGTCTTTGTGTGCAAATACATTCTCACTTCTCTTGGGTAACTACTCAGGATTAGGATTTGTAGATTAGGTGGTGACAATATGTGATTAGTTTTATTAGAACTTCTAGAGTTTTTCCCAAGTGGCTAGAGCATTTTGTATTAACCCTCACTAATATAGCAGAGTTCCAATTGTTCTACATCCTCATCAACATTTAGTGTGTTACTCTTTTAGTTTTAGCCAGTCCTGTGGTGATATAGTTTTAATTTCGCATCTTCTTGATGCTTATGTTGAGCACTTTTCTATGTGATTATTTACCTTTCATATATTCTATGAAGTCCCCTTTCAAAATTTTGGCCATTTTAAAAATTGAGTTTTTAGTGCTTTGTTTTATGAATGTTTTCTTCCAGCCTTTGTTTTACCTGTTCATTTTCTTAACCATGTCTTTTTATGAACAGTAGTTTTGAATTTTGATAAAGTCTAATTTATCATTTTTCTCTTATAATTATTACTTTCTTCTGCCAGGGTTCTTGTTCCAGCATCTAGAAGGGTTCAGCAATCTGGAGAAGGGCTGTGTGTAACTTAATGAAGAGTCCAGAGACAAAGCATAATTTTGAAAGGCATTCGGGGGTCAGAGGAGCCTAGCTAAAGGAACTAAGTTCTCCTCGTCTCAGGACCCCATGCTCTTTATTAACACAAATTGTCCTAAGGCGAGGCAGAGATATACACGTCAAAGGGTTAGGTTTCATTTACAAAGTCCATTGTCAGATTGGAAGAATTTGCCTACGGCTGTTTAGGTGTTTGGCCAGTAGGAGGCAATAACATATAGATTAAGATGCCCTGAGCTGTCTGGCAGCAAGCAGTCATCCCTTTTCAGGTTTGGGGAAATGCCTTTAGCCATTCCCAACAGGCGATAACATATGTGACTCAGCCCTTGTTGAGTCCCCAAGTTCCATCAACCTTTCGATGAAACTCTTGCAATTATGACATGCTGGAATTGGCTTCCGGCATTCTTCCTATATAAGGAAACTTTGCCTATATCTAAATTATGAAGATACTCTCTTGTGTTTTTTTTCTAAAGGCTTTATTGTAATATATTTATTAAAAATTTGCTAAGAGGGTAGGTCTTATGTTAAGTATTTTTATCACATACACAAAATAATAATAATAAATAAAGAGGGTGGGAGGAAACTTTTAGAGGTGATAGTTTTATGGCATAAACTGTAGTGATGGTTTCATGGATATATAATTATCTCCAAACTCATCACACTGTATACATTAAATATGTACAACTTTTTTGTATGACGGCCATACCTCAATAAAGTGGTTTTAAAAAACAAATGGATCATGGGTATTATTCATCTTACATAACTGAAACTTTGTACCCTTTGAATAATACCTCCCCATTTCTCCTTTACTCCAGCCTCTGGAAACCCCCATTCTACACTCTGGTTCTATGAGTTTGACTATTTTAGATTCCTCATACTGTATAAGTGATGTCATGTAGTATTTTCCTTGTGTGTCTGGCTTATTTTCTTTAGCATACTGTCTTCCAGGTTCATTCATGTTGTCACAAATGCAGGATTTCCTTTATTTTATTTACTTATTTTTACATTTAAGTAGAGTTGGTATACAATATTATATTAGCTTCAGGTGTACAATATAGTGATTCGACATTTATATACCTTATGAGGTGATCACCACACTAAGTCCAGTAATGATTTCTTTCTTTTTACAGGATGAATAATATTGCATTGCATGTATACATTTTCTGTATCCATTCATTCATTAATGGACATTTAGGCTGCTTCTGTGTCTTGGCTATTGTGAATAAAGCTTCAGTGAACATGGGAATATAGATATCTCTTTGAGAAACTGATTTTAGTTCCTTTAGATATACCGTATACTCAGAAGTGGGATTCCTGGATCATATGGTAGTTCTATTATTTTTAAGCTTTATTGAGATGTAATTGATGTGTAACATTGTGTAATTTTAAGGTGTACAATATGTTGATTTGCTATACTTATATATTACAGTATGATTATCACAGTATTGTTAGTTAGCAAATCCATCACCTCACATAATTTCCATTTCTTTTATGTGGTGAGAGCATTTAGGATTTACTCTCTTAGCAACTTTCAAGTGTATAATACAGCATCGTTAAGTATAGTTACTATACTGTACACTAGATCATCAGAACTTATACATATTATGACTGAAATTTGTGCTCTTAACCAACAAATCCCCATTTATCCCACCTCTTAGCCCCTGGCAACCACCATTCTACTCTCTGTTTCTACGAATTTCGCTTTTTTAGATTCTACATATAAATGAGATCATACAGTATTTGTCTCTCTCTGATTTATTTCACTTAGCATAATAGCTGCAAGGTTTATCTATGTTGTCACAAATGGCAGGATTTTGTTTTTACTTGTGGCTGAATAATATTTCATTGTATGATCTATCTTGTTCTTTGCTGGTATGATCACACCTAGAGCAGAATCTGGCCCATAGTAGATAGATCTCAGATTGTTAGATGGGTGGATAGGAGGGTGGGTGAATAAATGCTAAGAATGCCTTTATGTGTCTCCCTCTCTCCCTGCCAATAAATCTGTTTTAGGGCCGAAAAATTGAATTCCCAAATAGCATATTGCTGATCTTCTTTTCTGCCTTTCACCCAGAAGTCACACCTCAAGCCATATTTTGTGCAGCAGCCTAGATGAGACTTTGGTAGAGGGCCATCCAAGTGCACTTTTTTATCCTTCAAATCTGACTGAGTATGGTGTTGGGTTAGAAACAAGAGATTGAATAGAAGTTGAGTCCATGATGGCTTCACCTCTCAGTATTAGGAGTCTACTTTTGCTTTTCTACTCACTCACTAATCAATCTTTTAATGTTTAACATTATTCACATTATTCTCTGCCAGTCACTGATCCTGTTAAAACTGAAGGTGAGATTGAAGCTGTGGCAGGTGTGTGTGTGTGTGTCAGTCAGTTCCATTTCATCATCTTCAGAAAAGAGTTAAGAGATTACAGAATGTGAAACTTCCTTTGACTAATCACCAGCTATAAACATGATACCTTCCAGTCCACCCGTCCTTGAGTCATACGGTACTTAAGTGTTTATGGGTCCAGTTATATTCCTTTTTAATATCTCATGAACTAAGGATGAACCCAGGAAATGACCCCTTTGCTTTTTTCTCTTTTCTCTGCTTTATATAACTCAGGAGGTTCATCAAGAACGGATTGCATTGGAAAACCAATTGGAACAACTTCGTCCAGTCACCGTGTTGTGACCCCAAGATCCAAGTAATAGCGGGTGACCTTTTCTGCCAAGATCTTTCCTTTAACTGTTTCAATCCAACTACTTGTCATAGATGTCTGACTGTGTCAAAAGCTGTAAGCAGTGAAATAGAATCCATGTCGCCTTTACTCTTATACTTATGTGCTTTACTGTGATGGAAATATATAACTGATTATCACACTTGAAATTGTAATTATCAGTGGAATTTCTCTCATTCTTCAGTACTTTCTTGAGATGTTAGATGTTGCTCCTTAACAAAAATCAACCTTCTAGCAAATGACAATGTAGAGCATTATTTATTTAAAGAATTTATGATTTGTACAAGACCTTATAATCTCGTATCTTTAGGATGCTTGTTTTATTTTTGGATGTATATCATGTACAGTAGGTTGGTTTCCTGAATAATTGGAATTCTAACTGTATAGTCTTTGGCATGATGATAATAAAACAAAAACTAAAATAAAACAAAAGCATCAGATTTAGACTGGCGCTGTGCCCTCCACCACCATATGCCAAAAAAATTGCTTCTCTAGTGCCATTTTGATTTTATCTAGCTATAAATAACACATAACTATTGTTTTCTACTGAATGTCAAAGACTTACTGGGTCTTTACACCTCTGTAAAGTGGACGTTTTGTCAGTGATCTATTTAACTTGGCCAGCTAGGCCGTCAACCCAGATAACTCAGTCCTTTCATGTAAATTTTTAGGCAAGAGCAATGTGCTTTAGCTGCCTCTCCTGATCATATTAAAATAGTTGCCAGATCTCTTACTTTTATCCTGCATGGGGAAACATATCTGTAAATGCATGAATTTGGAAACTACCCACCAAATATGAAAGGTTGATGAGACTGTTTGGATTGATAAACATTTGTTGTTGGAACCCAGGTATTCAAACTGGGGAAGAAGAGAGAAAATGGTTGTTACTAACTATTCAACAATCTCTGGTAATTATTTTTGTCTTTGTTATTGTAACCTGGATTGTGAGTATATTGGATGTGAAGAAATAATGAAAGGAAGCCAATTCCAACACTGGATATATAAGTATTTGGTTCCATGTGAGGCGTACTCTTGGGAAGTGATTGGTTCATGTGCAGTACAGAAGGGCCCAACTGACTCCAGTGTACGTGAGGTAAAATAGTGAGCTCAAATTGCAGAAGCCAGTATCCTATAGAAATTCCGAGAACTGCTGCTTCACCTGAAAACTCAAGTTGAAAATGAGAATTGACCAACTCTCACAGGGATCAGGGCACGTCAGCTTTAATATCACTTTGAGAGATTGATGGCAAGAAAAGCTGTCTCTTACGCATTTTGCTACTTTAACCATTCTTAGAATAGAGGGGTGGGGTGTGCCTAGGGTCCTTTTTGAAGTGGTTTGGATAGGTTTGTAGCATGTGAGATTAAGTCTTTGATTTCAATAGAGTTGACAGCTTTTAGAAAAGTAGGAGTTTATTTAATGTTTCCTTATTCCATTGTCAAGCTTTATCAATGGCTTAATGGCAGAAATAAGGCTTAAACAGATGATGTTTTTCCAAAGAAAAACAAATTGTTGATTTTGTTCTGTGCATATTAAAGGTTTTTGAATTGGCTTGGTTTTAAAAATCAGGAATCTTTAACTCTTTCTCTATTTCATACATTTTTTCCTTCCCCTTTGGCTACCATTTTGGTCCCTGTAGAAAGTGTTCAGAATCAGTTTAAACCCTTCCTAAGGTCATGAATGGGTCAGTGCAAAGTTAACCTCCTTTCCCATGTTCTCAGATCTGGGGACTGCAACAGATTTTATCAACAGTGTCCTTGTTGCAGACATTTTATAGTATGTTTGCCTTTTGTTACATTAAATCCAAGAAAGAATAGCCTATGCACTTTATCCCATAATCTTCCAGTACATACACATTCACTCGAGATAGCACTTCATATCCATTAAGCAGAAATATAAACCAAGGAATGTTATATGATGTACTTTTAAAATATTGACATTTCCCCCCATCAAGCCAGTGACAGAGTAAGCCAAATTAGGTTGGGGTTTTGTTTAGTTGGTTTGGTTTTCATTAAAGGAAAAAACTTGCATCAGACAATCAAGGCTCCATGAGTTGCATAGTCTCGCCAATATTTTAAGATAGACATTGCATTAAAGCACATACCAATAATATCTATACTTAGTCTTCTTGACTGGACTTTTAGTGAACTCAGTTTATTAGTTGTTTAGAAGTAGATTTTTAAAAAACAAACACAAACACATAGATGCACATACAGTTACACACATTATTATTACCTAACTAGTGCTCATTCGTTGTTTCTCTGTTTTCTTAGGATGTATACTTTCAATTAGGATTATAACTCCCAATAATGTTTCTGTGTGCCTTTAATGTGATTTATAGGAAGACTGAGCTATTGAAATTACTATTATACCTATTCTATAAAACTACTCCAAAATTAGACCTGCTTGTTGGGCAGAGTTCTGTGGACAGAAGGCCAATGTTGTCCCCATCTGTGGGGATTTAATAACCTTGTTGGTAAGTGGTGGTCCTTCATAGAGGTCCCATAGTCCCAAGGATGAAAGTACAGTAGAAGTTGATAGTGGGCCTATTGGATACCTTAATGTCTCTTGTATATGGCATATTGCCTTTTCCAACTCCCTATCCAGTAGGCATGGAGCAAAACCAAAAGATAGATATCTGGAATGGAAGTATGTGTTGTCATCAAGGCAGATATTTGCTTTAATTGGAAAGATTTAACTGCTTTATTAATATTATAGAAGTACTTTGGGCCTGATTGGGAGAGGAGGCAGGTTATCTGGAATCTATGCCCATTTTACTGTCATTGGAGAATGAGGATGTCTGACCTCTGAGGACCTGTATCCATCTCTTGCTGTTTGCTGAGGGAATTCAAGGCCCTGAGAAACCACAGTTCCTAGCCCAACGATCCATAGAATTAGTGGCAGAGTTGGAATGCCCACCTGATTTATGGATTCTAAGTTAACTCCTTGAGCCTGTAGCAATATTAAAAACAGATTGGAAGGTTTCTTCTATTTACCTTGTTGAATTTTATTTACTTAATCAATCTTAAAATATTAAAACATGTTTTAATGAATATTAGTTCTAGATGTTTCTCATGGATTGAAGCAAAAAATAAAATATGAAGGGAAAGAATATGATTAACTATTTGTTCTTTTGAACACCTCACCTTTCATGATGCAATGTTACTCTGAATTTTTTGGCAGAACTTTTGAGAGCTGTTGCTTTGAATGGATTCCATTCCCGTATTCCTTATGGGAATTTGTTTTTAAATAGACTAGAAATGAACTCAATATGTAGTAAGTTAGTTTTCTTCAATATATCTTTAGTTACTTGGTTGCAAATTTTCAATTTCAGCATACGTTAGGGTGAGTAGTCAAAAACATGAGTTTTCCTTTGGTTTCTACCAATGTCTAAACTATCATAAAGCATCATTTTCTTCATATGTGACTTGATTCTGTAGTCTGTTTATAAATGATATTGTCTATTTCTTAAATGATCTCACACTCATGGTGATAATAGATGTGTGTTCAGAAGATCAATAAGAAAGTAATCTGGAATGAATGTGTTTTTTTTGCAGTTAAGGCAAGCTCTTGCAAATGCCTTCTAAGCAGTAGTTTGAAAATCTCAATTACAGTATAACACCTTAGAGCTAAAAACATTTGTTCAACACAAACTAGAATCACACCTCCTGGCTAGATATCACCAAGGGAAATGTGATTTTAAACATATAAAAAAGATTTTCAAATATCTTAGCAACCAGGTCTTTCCATATTGACAAGTATGGCTCAGTAGGTTGTAGCTTGAAAATTACGAATGTGTGAACAAAATAAAATATCAGTTGAGAGGCCTTTTTCATTTTTAGTTAAATAGAACAGTAGTAACTTTGGTTTTTCTTTCCAACTGGTTTATTCTGTTTTAAGTGTACACTTTTAAAACTCTAATCAAAGGATTACTTGAATTTACACTTTAGTTATTGGTGTTCTTGTTATGTTGTTTTTTTTTTGTACCGTGACTTAGTGTGGAACAAAGTAGACATTGGAGTTTTTGGAGTCCTGAGCTGGCATATCTTGCTTCTCTTTTGGCACAGGTTAAGGGGAGCTGCCCACCAATGCCAACAGATAAATCATTAATGGATATTTGAGTGTGAGACTTACTCTGTGAGCCACCCTGCTTTGCTTGTTTGCGTTTAGAAATGCATCTATTTATGTGACCTTCCCAAGAGCAACTGTAAGAACAGCAGACATAGAGGGCCAGACTTTAAAAAGCAATACAAGCAGATTCTAAGAGCTGCTTCCCTCCTCAAAATTAGGCTTTCAAAGGCTGACGTACAAGTGTTCCTTGAAACGTCAGTCTGTTAATTGAGCAAGACATTCCAGGTATGTAGTTGCTTTTAGGCTTCTATGGTTATTTTCTACATTGACTAACACACATGATGTTAAAGGAACCTTTTCTAAAAGACATTGCAGGGTTTCAATTGAGATGACTTGTTCAAGTTATAGAAGCCTTGGTCTGCTTTTAACAATTGAGGGGTGTTCATTTTTCATGTTTTGTGAGTTCTCATATCTCACTCTAAGCTAAATTCATGGCTATGTGAGGTTGGAAAAAGCAGGTTTATGACTCTGAAGACCAGAGAACATTGGCATGCATTGGAATTTGGGGACTACAGTAAGGAAACATAGCTCCATTATGCCCTGGGGATGGAACAGTTGACACAATAAACCCATTATGTTGTGTCTAGATCAACTGAATTGTGTTGTTTTGTTTTGTTTTAAGGCAGCTTGTGTAAGGGTTTCAGTTGCACCCACCCTGGAAACTGGGTGTACCTTTTTCTTTAGCACTACCATTCTGTTTTTCTTCAGGCCAAATATGTTCAAGTGAGCCACAGGTGGGAAGAGCCACTTTAGTTTCCGTAGCAATGGGCCAGAAGAGAGAATGAGCTGATGGTCTATTTTAACCTTAAAAGTAAAAATGTATATTTTTTCATGACAGGTACATTGAACAGTAAAACAAGTAACAGTAAAGTATATATTTGATGCCTTCTGTGTTTTCATGAGTATGTGCTAATAAGTCGTGCTAATATTTACTCAGCCA